TATAGAACTAGATGACGGAAAATTAAATAAAAAAAATTATACATCTAATGGTTTATGATTCTTTATTATGTTTTATTATATATAAAGATTACTATTTCTTGTCTATTGCTCTTGTTTTTTTTTTTTTCAAATATCCCTAAATTTTAAATTCTCTATGAATTTATTGATATTTTTATCACATATATAGATAAATATAGACACTTTGTTCTTGACTTTATAATAGTTTTATAAAATAGAAATTAGATTTAAACGAAAAATATAGCCACACATTGGGACTTACAAGTAAACAATAACATCAGACTTGAGCGATTTTAAAATAAAATCCAATACTTATTATGATATTCGAAATTAAATCCAACGCTTCCTCGACGAGTTAAAAAAGTTTGTTATCAAACATACTTATAGTAACGTAAATGGATCTTGATATAAAAACGGGTCATTAACTGTCAAAACTTATATTATATTTATTGAAATATTCAAAGAAAAAACTTCAGTTTATAATGATGTCTAGAATGAAACATGTTTAAAGTTCTTTTTTTTTAATTTATAGCGAGGACATAATGACTAAAAATATAATTACAGCGAATTAACGACATAGTAATAGCAATATATTATAATGCTGATATTTTTATATTTTGGATATAAATTTGTAAAAATTGTTTGTAAAAATAATAAATAAATCTCTTGACAAATGATAAATTTGCTATTTTATATACATTGAAATCAGAAAATATTGACAGTATTTATTGATTTTTTTTATTTATTTTGTCAGTTATTATTGGTTGTAATTTTTTACCACTAAGATGGCAAACAAGCATACGGCCCATCTGATGGTAAGCGGTTACCGTAGCCTATGAATGCCTGCAATACCAGAGATATTACGAAATCTCTTTATTCTAAACTAAATTATTCTATACTGAAGAAATCTCTTTATTCCTTTTTTGAAGAATCCCACGCTGTAGTAATATTTATTTACAGAGGAATAACACCTGAGTCCTCAGGAATGGCAACGCATGGGGGGGTATCATGGGCGAAACAGCATACTCTGTTATATCCATGGTGCTACTCATGTCTATAGGCGACGGTTACCACTTTCCATCAGATGGGCCGTTAGCTTGTTTACCATTCTAAGTATTATAAAAAAAAATTCCTGTGGGTGATGTAAGAAGTGTAGGTAGGTAGCTACGGTTGCCAACCTGGTTACTGGAAAAATCTCAGTTATGGGGAAGGCCTATGTTCAGCAGTGGACAGTTTATGGCTGATATAATAAATATTAATATAATATTTATAATAATAATCTTTTTTGAAAATATCCACGGTGTATAGGAAGTCTAAAACTGTAGAATTTCGTTCGAGTTTTTTGTGAATTTAAATAGAAGTGCTTCGTTCTACAGCTACTATCAACGTCGGAAGAGACACCTAAAAGTAATTATGGTTTTTTTTTTGGACAACTACTATTATTCTTAGCGTTTGCGTAATACGTTGTCTCGTAAACTGCGCCTATCGGTCGTCGTTATCACCGTTTTTGCACATACCAGCTCTAGTTGAACTTGTTTTAATTGGCTCAAGGAAGCACGCTTCAACAACTCGCGCCGGTGAGATCAACGTGCCCCGTTCCAACTTTGAATGTTGGCGCCTTTTCACAATACCACAGATTATATATGCATTCGAATAAACGTTCGTGTTACTGGCAATTCGGATAGAGGAACTTTTTATAGTTTTTCTGTATTTTTTATTTTAATTTTTTAATAATGTGCACACAAAACGGTATAAAAGAACCCTTATAACGATTTTATCTGTCCTTTCGTATCACTGGTGTCGTCATTTCACTGATTTTCCAAAAAAAAAAATTAAAAAAAGTTGGGCTTAAAATTTCAAAATGATCATACTGGTCTAAGCGAAATGGCTTCATTTTTATATTCTAAAACTATATTTGACTTATTCTTTTTGCTAAATAATTTATATTACCGTTATTTATAAACGGATTTAAAAAAAAATAATTATTTGTCATACGAACTGTCTACTGCTGAACGTAGGCTTCCCCCATAGACAGCCATAAGGAATGGTCCCGAGTAGTATTTATTAACCCCTGCGATGTATTTGAAGTCGTCGCTTCATATAGTGGGGGGTAGCCCTACACTGCTTTTGCATGTATGGGGTCGCCACTCAAGAATCTCTCTTCTCTATCGGTTGTCAGTTCTTCGAGCTATGTGACTAGTCCATAGCCACTTCAGCTTTCTTTTTTTTCGAGCTATGTCGGTCATTTTTGCGAGTACAGTCCACTGCATGGTTGAGTAACTTCAAGTTACAGATTAGTACCACAGAAACTTTATCAAAATCGCTTCATTTATTTAGTTTTTAAATTAAAATATAATTTGTTTTATAGAACACAATCTTGCAAAATGGTTTTTTTTTTGATGGGTGAAAATGGTAACTCCGCCTGCGCTAACGGAATACGCTGGCGGAGCACCAGTGAAGGGTGATAGATGGGAATGAAAACAGGCCAGTTAGCCTATCATGATGAATTCATCAGGAATTAACCATGATAGTTTCCAGGGAGAACCGCGAGGAGGTAGACCTGGTTGGGTATATTGCTAGCAATGGGATTCTCAGTCTCTATTACTAACAATCCATTTCCCCCCCTCATACAAGTAGTTAGACATTATTTATATTGGTGTATCTTATATTATTAATTTAAAAAATCCAAAAATGTTATTTATCTCCATCAAGCCTACTTGTTTTTAATGATTATAATAATTATTAAAAGGGCTTATTAGACGGAGTTCGTGTAACGCTGTAACGGTATATATATATATATATAATTAATTTATTATACATGTGATAATTATCTTTATAATTTATAACTCTGGCCAAAAGTGATTAATGTTCACGATAAAGAGCTTATCATGTAACATACATGCACCAAATCCATAGCACGGATAGCTTGAACTCGAAAGTTATTATTTAATTGATACACCTGTTTATTATACTATGTTATAGTAATATATTGTGTTTTTTTTTTTTATGCAACTTATAATAGTAAACAAGCTGACGGCCCACCTGATGGAAAGTGGTAACCGTCGCCTATAGACATGAGCAGTACCATGGACATAACAGAGTATACTGTTTCGCCCATGATACCCCCCATGCGTTGCCATTCCTGAGGACTCAGATGTTATTCCTCTGTACCTTGTAAACCGAAACACAGCCATGCAAACACGACTGCTTCACGGTAGAAACACGAATGGGACAGAGGTGCCCAAGCAATTGACTTTTATAAATTTCGTGACCATTTATTGCAATTTTGGCGTGAGTTTTAATATTTAGTGAACTAGAAACATCATGTAACCATATTCATTTCTCTGAATTTACAATCGACGCGAGCTGTTCGTGCTACTTACGAAGTTACAACTGTAGAGCATAGGGGGGAAAGGGATTGTTAGTAATGTATCAGCCCCATTGCTAGCAATACCCCCTATCAGGTCGACTTTCACGTTGTTCCCGCTGCAAACGATCGTGCTGAATTTCAGGTGCATTCATCACGGTGGGCTAACTGACCTGCCCTTTCATCCTCACCTATCATCCGTCACTGGTGCCCCTCCAACGTATATTCCATTATCATCCATTGGACAAAAACTACAGAGTACAGCACGCGACTACCGAATACTCATTAATAAGTAATAAGCGAGTTACTTTTAATAACAAATAAGGCTGAGATCCGTCTCATTCAGAGGTGCATTAGCAACCCATAAATTAAGAGGATAAACGAAAAAACGCGACCTGCCTCAAGCCATGAGCGGTATGTATGAATATGTAAAATAATGGAAACAAAGCCGGCCGGTCCTTAACCCGACTATTTGGACGCGTGCACTGCGCTCGAATCATGCTGTCATTATACATTTGTTATAGCCAAATTTGGTAAGTTGTTGTATTTTTTTATGCTATTTAGAAAATGCAAGCAAACTGACGGCCCACCTGATGGTAAGTGGTAACCGTCGCCAGTAAACATAAGCAGTATCATAAACATAACAGAGTATACTGTTTCGCCGATGATACCTCCCATGCGTTGCCATTCCTGAGGACACAGGTGTTATTCCTCTGTACCCTGTAAATTCACTGCCATATTCCACCCTTCAAACCGAAACACAACCTTGCAAACACAACTGCTTCACGGTAAAAACACAAATGGGACAGAGGTGCCCAAGCAAACAACTTTTGTACAAAGTCTCCCTCTGATGTTTTCGTTGTGCCGCGTGGAGTCCGACCTGTACATCATATATTGACATTATTAACAATTTCTTTTCTTCCATGGAATAAGTAGAACTTTATGTCCTTCTTCGTTCTGTACAGTACTTGTCTATAAATTTTCATAAGGATTAGTTAAGTTGCTAAGTAGCAAAAAACAAACAGACAAGCTCAATGTTACATTTATAATATCAGTCAGCATAAACTGTGGCCAGATATTTTTAGCAGTTGCATCTGTTATGCATTTTTATGACAATTTCAAAATATAAACACATTGCCACGGTTCATATAAAATGACGACACAACCGCCAATAATTGACAACCACTAATGACAATATCTCTGAACTCGTGCGCACATCGGTAATGGATCACGTGCGCGGCCGCGCCGCCTATTCAAATAAGTAAAAAATCTCGCGCGTTACAATTATGACAGCTACGCGCCGAGAGCGTAACTTGAAGAATTTATTTGAATTACAAATTGAACGTACAGCAGACAGTTTTAGCGCGGAGCGAATAAATAATTTGATATTATGCAAAGTGATGATACCTCAACCGCCACCGGCGACCTTGACATAGAGCCATAAATAAGAATATCTTAAGCACTCATACATATGGACGGCGGCTCGTACACTCAAATATGGTAAGTGCCGGCTTATGAATAAATTTTATTATTTAAAACTCGGAATGTTCATTACTAAAACAAATACTCGTAAGGCGTAGTAATACAGGCTGATACAGTTTGCGGGCGGCCGCGCGGACGGCCGGACCGTGCCGTACCTCTACGGGCACGGGACGGGACGGGACCAGTGGGATATTGTACGAGTAGGAGCGGGACAGTTCGCTTCGTTGACTATTCATAATAAAAATAACGCCTTATAAATATTAATGAAAATAATTTTACAATACATTCGAAACGAAATGAGAAGTGTTAAATTTGACGTTGTCATCTATTTGCATGCAATATGTTCCAAAACATATCGTTTTCAATTAAAGTTTTTTTTTTAAAGTGAAATGATCGAAAACGGTTTAAGTTAAGCCTGATGATGTTATTCTGCTATTTCAAGTTTCCCATGTTCGTATATTAACGGGAATTAAATAATGTTATTGTAATTTTTTCATATCGGAGTTTTATAAGTTATGTTTTGCGATTTCTCCAAGTAGCAGGTAGGTAGGTATAAAATTTGATCAAAATGAGTTTTTACGTTGATCAGTAGACGATTTAGCGCTAATAAAACGTTCAAGGTGAGCGGCAGTGAGCGACGCCGCGACGCGGGCTGCGCCCACGCTCGACCCGCGCGCCTGACGTCAACACAATAGTCTCTGTACCTATCTGGGATACTTGCAGAACAATGCCTCTTATCTACCTATAGAAATCGCATTACGCAACCACTGACACCTATAACATCTCTATTTTGGTCGCGACTGTTATTTCCTTCAAACTTTGAACAATATTGCTTTAGTTGTTTTAGAACTCGTGCCGTATGTGCAATTCAGAAATTCTGACTAATACGTACGGCGTCATACATTTTGATTTGTCTATTTTGCACGCATACAGTAATCTGTATGAAATTATTATATCTCTACTGTATATAAGTTAAAATCACATAATAATGTTAAGTTTGTTCATTTCCAATGCTTTTGTTATTCGCAGTCTCATATTGGGAATAGAAACGCGAGATTTTGTGTTGTATTAAAATATTTATTATTTTATTATATTTTAAATGAATTAAACTGTGATACGTTACATTTACGCTAAAATGTTGCAATAAATATTTTGTGGCATATGAAACAAAAAGTGAACAGCCTGTATTGAAAAGTTCTCATGACCCGAAGCGAAATCATACAACGATTACATTCTCCACTGACAATAAAAACAAGACAACGATCCAGTGTTTTCATTAAACAAATTCGTGAATACGTAATGCAGCTCAATGTTTCATATTAATATTTATAGGATGGATACCATTTGAATAGATGGCCGATAAGCCTCGTTAGCAAGTGTGAAGTTAACGGCGATTCTATCTCAATTTGTTTCGTCCATTCTTGTTGTTAGCAATTTTCTTATGAGTTGCGTGACGCATATTTTTTTTTATATAATAATTCTAAATTAATTAAGAGTATTCATACCGAAATATGGTAATTTTCGATGACAAATAATTTTTTTTTTTCGATATTTTTGAATGATTTAATAATGATTTGAAATGTCAATCATGCAGTAGGATTTTTGTTGAACTATCATTGAAAGTATGTTAATAGTCGTGACTCGTGATTTTGGGAAAATATTCTTGTAATTTTGTAGAATAAAATTTAATTATATAAGTGTTTTTTTTTTAATAATAGTAACTGAAAGTTTGGACATTGCTGGTAAAAAGTATTTGCAAATAATCAAAATATATATATATTTGTTTATGCTATATATGTTTGTATATGATAATATTTATATAATAGTGCGCCACCTACTCTTTGTCTTTTTCTCAATGTCCTCTACCCGCCGCCTTTTGTATCACTTCTCATTAATATTTACTGTATTTGTTATTTCTCTTTTTACTTGGTGCAATAAAGTGTAAATAAATAAATAAATATACTGGAGTAAATGCAAAATATACCGTCAGATTTACGGACAACTTATAATTGACTATCAGTGCACTTTTTAAATGACCAATCGGTAATATTGAAAATTTCCAATAGTTTTTAAAAATTGACACGTAATTCCGAGTTCGATGTTGCTACATTTCGGTGTGAAGGCTCTTAAATTGAACGCCTCAGGCAGTATCTCGATCTTGTTTGACGCTTGTCAAGTCTCACATTGTAGGAATAGTTCTCGAAAATTTAATTAAAAACTTGCACCTGAATAGAGACAGAGCGCTGTGTGCTTGCGTGTCTGTGTGCGTGTGTGAATGCCCGTGACGTCACACGCACACACGACTGTTTCATTGAGCGTGTGACGCGTATCGCGACTTGATCTACACAGTATAGGCGTAACTCTGAACATGCTTTGTAATAATCGGATTTGATTAATTTTAAGAATTGATTTTAAGTTAAAATTACAGGGTATCGTCTTAATAGATTAGCTTTTCAGCAGTGGCAATGCACGAGGTCAGCTATGGGTGTCACGGTATATTTTGTGAAACCCGTGGTGCTGTTCATATTTACAGGAAACAGTTCACACTTTTAGTCAGTAATCGCTCAATAAAAAAGGTTTAAATTACGAAATATCAGATTCTGATGATTATCTCTTATTCAAACCAGATGAACTCCATCTTGTTATTTTGTGATTAAAGTAATTTGTGTGTATGGGTTTTATAAAACTGGGAATGACAAACAAGCTGACCGAAAATGTTAACCGTCGCCTATAGACATGAACAGTATCGCATTCAGAAGATTAATATTGTTTATGATAAGGCTCTTTTTATTTGTTTGTAATAACAAATTTTGATAACGTGCTCTTTCGTCAGACGGCTTGTATACTCGTATTTTCTATTATTGTAGATAGATAGATAGAAATACAAGGAAGACGAATTAGTTTCGCGACAAGACTTCAACGAATATACTCGTATTTTTTTTTTGTATAATTCTTCGTTTACTGTTTGTAAACGATTCCACATCTCACCTTGGAGGTTTCAATGTCAACACATTTATTAGTCATCGTGTTTTGGATCGTGTTTCGAAATAATTGAGAAATTTATTTTGAATCGAAACCAATGTTTTGTATTACTTGGAATAAACAACCTGACAATATATCTAAAAAAAAAATATCAATAATAATTTAAAACTATTATCGAATATATTTCCTTAAGTGCGTAAATTCATTGGCGCTAAAGTACAATAATTTACACATACGTAGGAATTAGTGAAACAAGCTATGTCGCGTCTATGTCTACGCGATGCAACACAAAAAGTATTTTATAAATCAATTCAGACCATGGTCTATCTCTATACGAAATTTAATCAAAACCATTCAGACGTTTACGAGTGACTTGGCAAAGAGTTAGTAAATATATTTGCTAAATTTTGTAAACGATTAAAACCGGATATTAAATAGTGACTCTAGCCTTGAAAGACCTTATGTTTTTCGATAACAAAACGGCGATATATGGTAAGGCAAGTGATACTAAACTAGTCAGCTAAGATTAATAAAATTTCTAGTTACTATCTGAAACTGTAGTTTTCAATTTATGTATTATATTGCTTCATTATAAATTAATATAGTTTACACTATTGTATTAGATTTTTACCAGAGGGAGACTTTGTACAAAAGTCGATTGCTTGGGTACCTCTGTCCCATTCGTGTTTCAACCGTGAAGCAGTTGTGTTTGCATGGCTGTGTTTCGGTTTGAAGGGTGGGATATGGCGTGAATTTACTGGGTACAGAGGAATTACACCTGAATCCTCAGGAATGGCAACGCATGGGGGGTATTATGGGCGAAACAGTATACTCTGTTATGTCCATGGTTCTGCTCATGTCTATAGGCGACGGTTACCACTTTCCATCAGGTGGGCCGTCAGCTTGTTTGCCATTCTAAGTTGTATAAAAAAAAAAAAAAACGATATCTTTACAAATTTTGAACCGAATCTGATACTTGTACATTACTAAGGACAGTTCCTGTAATCGTGAGTGCATATACTACACTACGATCCTTGTACTGGGTGCAGTTGCAGACATGGTTAACGACAAAAGGAAGGATATGCGTACGTGCCTCACAATGCCGAGAATGATATTATCCCGGTTTTTATAGGGGCCGTATTAGGAGCGACGCCAGGGTCCGCGACGTGTGTAGACTCCACACAAAAAGTCAACTTTGTTTATTGCTTTAGTTGCTGATCAATAGCGACAATGTAAAGGATTGTTGTCGCATTGTTTCATTCCTACGACGTAACACGGTACCTATCTTTTTATTAAATGGGTGTAAATTGAATGGCCACCCCATCTACGCTACGGGTACACTAGTGAAAAGGTGGTAATTGAGAAGTTGACCTATAGTGATGTATTTACTAGAAATCATCATCATCATCTCAGCTTTTATCCGTCTATTCCTAAATATAGGGGAATGAAAGGTTCTTAAGTGGTGGTGGTATGGGCAAATTCAGTGCAGGACAAAAACTATATGGAGTGACGACCTCCAATGCATTGCAAGGAGTCAGTGAATGCAGATGGCTTAGGACCGTTCCTTACGAAAATCTATGGCTCCCTCATGAATGGCCTATGAATATAACCTATTCAATTGTTATTAGAAATAATACATGATAATTTCTAGAAGCGCATGGAGGTCGAATTGGTATATTCCGAGCAATTGAACTACTAGTCATTATTACTAACAATCCCTTCCCTTCATCGTTGTGCTAAGTATACATATATGGCACTTGTGTATTAACTTCAAGTAGTTCTTAGTAACAAAAAAAATTTTTTTGATGATAGTAACATAGTCTAACGCTGAATGCACTCAAGTGTGCTTTAACTAGACAAGTACGGTTCGAACCATAACTACCGCAGTTTATGAACGTTTGCAACAACGGAATATTGCAGGTTACATTTGCGCGTTATTGAGTCTTTTGGAATGACGGTCTTGAGATTCAAGTTCAATATTTTAATTGAGCATTGGACTCCCATCATATTGCAACACAGAATTTACGAATAATTTGTCATTAGCACAACGCTCGAGGTAGTAAATACGAGACAAGATCGCGAAATATAAATCAAAACAATATCAAACGTAATCCTGCCTACGCAGTGACAGGCACAATTCTAAATCCAAAACCTTCAACTTACATAATACAATCAACATCTCGTTTATTTCTAAACGCTGCAGACAAATCCTTCTGTCACATATAAAATTACCAAATTCCATTTACATCACTCGTGAACTTTATGATTGAGACATAGAGTTGATATCGGCTTGTTTCAAGATTTAGATATAAATTTGTGTAGGTACTAAGATCCGATTAGGTCAGGAACGATAATGCTCGAGTCGATTCGTCGACAATACTCGACTTGTATCGCGACACGCATCTCTCTCGACAATGTTCCGTAAATACAGTGGTTTATTGTGGGCCGACCGAGATGAAACCTCACTGGGCGAGATTACAGTGGAGGTGAGAGGATTTGAGCTCGTCACATATCACCCATTCTCGGAACATTTATCGATTCAGTGATTATCGATAGTCGATGAATGAGGTTAAGTAGTATACAATGTATTATGGATAAATTTAGAACTGTCGTTGATAAGGAAGTAAGCTAGTAAACAGGCGTGTACCATGTTGCAATCGCAATCAGAAGCTCCAAGTGACAGGGGACAGAATTTTTAAGTCATTTGTTCTTTAGTATAGGATATGTGTACGCTGAGGATGTTTTAGAATACTTGAATGAGGTATTAGTATTAATTGATATAAATATATACTAAAATTTACATTTTTTTTATGCAACTTAGAATGGCAAACAAGCTGACGGCCCACCTGATGGAAAGTGGTAACCGTCGCCTATAAACATGAGTAGTACCATGGACATAACAGAGTATACTGTTTCACCCATGATACCCCCCATGCGTTGCCATTCCTGAGGACTCAGGTTTTATTCCTCTGTACCCAGTAAATTCACGCCATATCCCACCCTTCAAACCGGAACACAGCCATGCAAACAGAACTGCTTTACGGTTGAAACACCAATAGGACAGAGGTACCCAAGCAATCAACTTTTGTACAAAGTCTCCCCCAAATAATAAATATACTTAAAAATATGTAAGTTGTACTATATTATACACGAAGATGAGACTAATAGATAATATTTACTGCTCGGATAAAGTAGACATCAACTTTTTGTTTTAATGACGGTTTAGACGGAAGTCTTTTGTGCATTGACGAAATAATTAACTGATGAACACAAAAGAAATATCTAAATGCAAGGTACGTAAAACTATCCAACACATAGAAAGAAATCAACTAAGGAAAGTTACTCCTAGTGTTGATATTAAAGAAATTTGAACACAGGAGCAAATAGCTGCAGTGTTCTGTGATATAATTTAAGGATTTAAGTCGTAGCTGTAATATTTGGTTCTAAAGTGGCAGGATTTAATTCAGGTAAATTTCTGTTTTCAGGTAACATAGAATAATTACGAATATTTAATATTTTGCGGAAGTATCACCAGTATTCGGAAATGACAAAAACTGTGAGAAAACAAAAGGTCACGACCCGGTACAAGGTCAAGACATCAGAAATCTAGATAGAGCCGACGTGTCCCAAACCGTGGGAACAGCAGACAATGGCTTTTGTAACACAATCCATAAATTTTCTTACATAATTGTGGCAATTAAAAGTTTTACGTTACATCGGCGGATCCAACTGTACATGATCTCGTAGTAACACGCGTGGATTAATCCTGACATATTTTAGAAGGTATTGTTCCACCTCAATATGTCTATATTAATATTACAAAAAATTGAATATTTGTTTGATGAGTAATGAATTTTACAGTCAATTTACAGGGTACAGATACATAACACCTTGGGCTTCAGGAGTGGCAACGCATGAAGGGTATCACGGGTGAAACAAAACACTCTGTTATGTCCATAGTACTGTTCATGTCTATAAGCGACGGTTTCCACTTCCCTTCAGGTGTGCAGCTTGAAAAATGAACATACTCAAAAATTACTCAACAAATTAAAAAATACTTTCATCCATAGAAAAGAGCAGCGAGTAAAATATATACTTTCTACGTATTACTTTTGAGCAAATTCTATCCATCTTTACGAAGCCTGGTCGTATCGTTATTAATTTATAATGAGAGCAGGTGGCATTGATATTAATCAAATAAATACTACAAAAGTGATAAAATATTATACCAAGATGTATGAATTAAATATTTCTGTCTCAATTGCTTCTGACACTAAGCAGCTGGTTTGGTTTGGTTTGGTTTGGTCATTTGGAGAGGATGGATGAAAGAAGAATTACGAAAGAGATTTATGGAGCAAGACTGAATGGAGATGTCAGTAGGGGCCGCCCTACACGGACGTATGTTGACCAAATAGGCGACGTGCTGAAGAAGAGCCAAATTAAAAGTACCCGTAGCCGGCGAGCGTGTATGAAAAGATTGGTGAATGTGGAAGAAGCGAAAGAGGTTTGTTTGAATCGAAGCATTTGGCGTTCCATTGTTTCTGCTTACCCTAATGGGAGACAGGCGTGACAGATATGTATGTATGTACTAAGCAGGATTCTTTTATTATTATTCTGACCATTTTGGATATCATCTCAATCTCATAATAATAGAATCTTTTTGACCCAAAAGTGAGTAACATGCAAGTGATGCCTTTGACGCTATAAGGGTTTATGGGTCAGTTGTGGATGTACTTTAAAACAGTACTCTCCCTTCTTCGGGTGTTTTTTATTTTTTGATGGGTGAAAATGACATGGTAACCCCGCCTGTGCTAACGGGATACGCTGGCGGAGCACCAGTGAAGGGTGACAGATGAGAATAAAAACAGGCCAGTTAACCCATCATGATGAATTCATCAGAAATTAACCACGATAGCTTCCAGGGAGAACCGCGAGGAGGTCGACCTGGTTGGGTATATTGCTAGCAATAGGATTCTCAGTCTCCATTACTAACAATCCCTTTCCCCCCTCTTCGGGTGTAAGCAACCTTAACTAAATATACAACATTAATAAAAGCAGAAAATAGATTTACAACTCTCAAATAAATTACAAATCTGCCGGAGAATTACTTCAAAGCACACAATAAACTGTAGTTATCACCGGATGTGATCAATTTAGAAATGATAGTCTCATTTTTGTGGCAAGCTCTATCTTCATCGAGGTTTATAACACATATGTTGGCGCGCGGCTACGCTTATCTCCTCACAATATCTGTGCTATTGTTCGAATGTATAATTTCCCACGTGGTGGTGTTCCGTAGTAATGACCTCTGGCGGACACTTCCTCAGATGGTGACGTTAAGATTTGATAGTGGATAATTATTTTTATGTGATATTTACAAACGTCTCGTGTAGTCCCGGCATAGAATAGGCAACCCCTTCCTTTCCTATGGGCGTCGTAAGAGACGGTTAAGGGAGGGTGAGGGATGGGCAGCATTGTTTTTCTTAATACATCTGCAAAGCCTAACTGCGGTTTCCAATCCGCCTGCCAAGCGTAACAACTACTGGCAATGCCCCCTCCCCTCCCATAGGAGGAGGTTTATGTTCAGCAGTGAACAGTAAAAAGCCGATTATTACGACGATTTATAAAGTTATATGTATTAGCAAAATAATCAACTGAGTAGCTGCAACTCTCCCTGTGTAAAGTGTGTTCAAATTTAGCAAAAATGGTTTCCATGATACATATAATGATAAGATGGTAATATTTACTAATAAGTCTATTCCAATTAATAATAATATACTCCGAAATAATATTTACTTAACTCTTTTTTTATTATTAATTTGATAAAACAGACTCTCACGAATTTTTTTTTTGAAAAAATTGAAAAAATCTAATATTTTTTGCAGGGGGAAAGGGATTGTTAGTAATGGAGACTGAGAATCCCATTGCTAGCAATATACCCAACCAGGTCGACCTCCTCGCGGTTCCCCCTGGAAACTATCATGGTTAATTCCTGATGAATTCACCATGATGGGCTAACTGGCCTGTTTTCATTCTCATCTATCAACCTTCACTGGTGCTCCGCCAGCGTATCCCGTTAGTGCAGGCGCGATTACTATACCATTATCACCCATCAAAAAAAAGTTTTGCTATTTGAAATGGCATGTAAGCTGATGTCCAGACGCTCATGGATAGTGGTAACTGTCACTTATAGACCTGTACTATAGACATTACAAAACGCACTATGACTTTGATAGTGCCTCCAATTCTTCTTTTTCATTTTATTTTTATATTTAAAAAAAATTGATTAACCTATCAACTATTGTCTAAGTGCAGTTAATTACAAAACTACATAATTTTCGACTGTTCTATCTGTAAAGTTGTCCGGTCGAGACAGAATAAGGAAGCGGCGCGGCTATCAGTAGCCGCGTATCAGTACACTGTTTTCCTTTGTTATTCATACGTTAAAACCACGTAAAGTGGTTATTGAGGAAACGCCTTGGTGCGGTGCGTCACGACGCGTCTCACAAGGACAGTGTTAAGTAGGTATAAAATTGACAGCTCTGTGTGAACAATAGATATTAATTGTATATTATATTGCTTATAATTATGTATGTTCCGAGATAATTCGATTAGTTAGTTAGCTAATTCATTCTGTCCGAACATGTATGCTTCACGGTTAAATATTTTTTTATGCAGCTTAGAATGGCAAACAAGCTGACGGCCCACCTGATGCAAAGTGGTAACCGTCGCCTATAGACATGAGCAGTACCATGGACACAACAGAGTATACTGTTTCGCCCATGATACCCCACATGCGTTGCCATTCCTAAGGACACAGGTGTTATTCCTCTGTACCCTGTAAATTCACTGCCATATCTCATTCTTCAAACCGAAACACAGTCATAATAAATCGAAACAATTGTCGTTCTTTTAAAACAGTATTTTATCAGTACAAGTAAATATTTGCATTCAAACATGAATCGAAAATGATCTAAAAAATATTGGTATGAGTTTCTCATATCAATAAAATTTGATATGAGGAACACAAAATTATAGTCGTTTTTAGACCCATATCTTATTGAACAAAAAATGTTACATTAGAAAAAACGTTCAAAATAATGATTTTAATTTTAATCTCTATAAAACTGTACTCTTTTTTCTGTGTACGCGATATTTTTACCATTTCTAAACCAATTTACTTTTTAGTGATGAAACGAAAAGGATAAACTACTATTGCAGTTTTATACTAAATTAGACATGATTTTTATTATACCACGATGGTGATAAATGAGCTCATCTTAGGCTACAGTGATCAATATACCATCGTATATTGATCACTGTAGCCTAAGACTGAAGAAAGTTGATTTATTTAATGAACAATCTCATGTGCTAATTTAAAACATAACTTATCCATGTTACACAAGTTTGCGCGTTTTAAAAAAATAAATTACAATCATTTACTTTATACTTCAATCTAGTTATATGTGTTTTTTTTTCCTTATTTTAATTAGCTGCCTCTGTATATTTGTCTGTTTCGTTTTTTGTAGCAATCCTAAGGCCCGGATACAAAATGGTTTGGAATAATGCTCTTGACCTCTGGTCCCGTTGCGTCCGGTTCCTATAGTGGCCAATAGGTCACAAGAGCTATTAACCCACACCTGCCTGAATTTTTGGTATCGTTGCATGTGATCAGATGTAATAAATTTGTTGAGAATTCTATACCATGATAGTCATTATCATACATTTTGTCGCCCATATTCGATATCTATATTATTTTAATTTCAATTTATTTTAAAACTTATCACTACTCTGTTACCTATTCTCTCTGTCAGATTATGTAGACATCTGTAAGTGGTGAAAAACAAATCGACCTCAAATACCCAATTACGGGTACTTAGGTCCCACAATTAGGCTTAGGTCTCATACTAAAGTCAAAAATATTAATCTAATCATCTAATAATGTCATCATGCACAAATTTTTGCTTTATACATCAATGAAAATCAACATATAGAGGACTTTATCCAGTTTAACTATAGGCATGTTCCTCATTTCACTGCATTCTACTATTTATTTTTATAACAGGTTCATCCCAATTATATTATATATTTTACCAGAGGAAGACTTTGTACAAAAGTCGATTGCTTGGGTACCTCTGTCCAATTCGTGTTTCAACCGTGAAGCAGTTGTATTTGCATGGCTGTGTTTCGGTTTGAAGGGTGGGATATGGCGTGAATTTACTGGGAACAGAGGAATAACAACTGAGTCTTCAGGAATGGCAACGCATAGGGGGTATCATGAGCGAAACAGTATACTCTGTTATGTCCATGGTACTGCTCATGTCTATAGGCGATGGTTACCACTTCCCATCAGGTGGGCCGTCAGCTTGTTTGTCATTCTAAGTTGTATAATATATATATATATATATATATATATATATATATATATATATATATATATATATATATAGGAAAAAAAAACTGAGCGTCCAATAACTGTATATTTTCACGACTTTTCTTAGATAGTAGTAATGCAGTGTGCAAAAAAAGTGAGCAAACTTAGAAACGAAATTGCCTTTTTTTCTATACTCCGTCTAGAACAAGACTCCAAATGTTTTTTATCGTGTTAGAATTGTGAATATATGTTTTTGTATTTAATTTTGTGATCGAGACAGACAATTTTATCAATTTCTTTGGCGAATAATGTAAACCTGCTAATGCCTTATTTTATAAAACAGAGATCAAACGAGCATGCGGTCCGCCTGATGATTGTGATTTTGTATTGTATTGATTATGAATTAGCCTCTCAATTACAGGGATCGGGAAGCATTACTTTCTCTCGATTAAAAAGACACAGTATCCAAAGACTGGTAGAAAGATTTACTGACAGAAACTGAGAGCTAGTTAATGGAGTGGCCTCATCATATATTAAGAAGATTTACACCTGACATCCAAACAGCAGATTAGATTATTCTTCTATAAAGAACAGATTGCCAATTAGCAGACTGGAAATAAAAATTGTATTGATATTATTATTTTTTAAATTTATGCGAGCTACAGTTCGCAGTGCAAGATGAGTCGCTGAGACGTAAAGCGCCATACGCCTGAAGAACTTCCAGATGAAATAAAAAAAAATTGTCAGAAACGAAAAATAAATATTCTTTATTTCCACTTGTAAGTTACATATAAAATAATGTATTTATAAATGTTGTGAGCAAGGGTGGATTTATCTCTGACAGAGATCTCTTCCAGGCAACCCAGTACAGTAAGAAAGCATTTCGTCAGCGGGCAGCTGAAGTGCTACAACTATTAATACATAAACAATACAGTAAGTTTATAAAATTCCTGTTGTGCATGTATGCATTGTAATGATATTGAGTGTATTTTTAAGCTATGTTCATTATCATCATCTTTATTCTTTCAGCCATTATCCGTCCACTGCTGGACATAGGCCTTCCCTATAGACTGCCATAAGGAACGGTAAGAAGCCACCTGCATGCATAAGGTGTTCATTATGCATTGAATAATAATCTAAACTTTATTTGTTTACTAATTTTCTTTGAAATTCATTTAGCCATTAAAGTGCAAAAAAATAACCAAATTCGTCTTTATTTTTTTTTTTTACTATATTATTTATTCTTTCTTTTAAATTTATATAAAAAGTTCAAAATTTTTAGTATAGTTATCATAATATTAGTAAAGCTCTTTACTAATATTAAAAATCTAAAAGTGAGTTTGTTTGTTTGTCACCATGTTGCATCTTAACAGTTTAACCGATCACTATTAAATTTGATATACAGACTGTATGGAATAGACCAACCTCAACCTCAACCAAGCCATACAGCTTTATCTTCAAATTCGATCACATTTCTTTATATCGGTCTCAGCTCAAGTGGCTAATATAGTATATGTCATATATGTGTAAGTATATTTGTTATTCATATATATTTATTCGTTTATATAATGTAATTTTAGTATGTATGTATATCAATAATTCCAGTATTCTGACACTTCCCTATGGTTGACTGGGAGAGAATGCTTTTAGCATTAAGTCCGCCATGTACACATATTTGTACTAATGAATAAATAAATAAATGGAAAAGGATCCTTTTTATCCCGGTTAGTAAACATATCCCAGTCACGCAGACGAAGTCGCGTGTAAAAGCTAGTTACAAATAAACTCAAGTAGAAAGGAAAGAAACACCACCTGATAATATTGCTAAAAAGACAATCGTATTTAATAAAGGAAATTACTTTTTTGGTGTTCTTTGCAATTAATTTTTGCACGAATTTATTGCTATGCGATATAAATATCTAACGACGATGTAAGTATACGATACAATCAGATAATGTTAGAGGATCGTAATTAAATATATTTATTAGGCAGTAAAACTTAATTACAGCAGACCAGAGTACTACACGAAAATACGGTCGGATAATTAGATAGAACGTAATCTTTATTAGCCTTATTTGTAGAGATTTGGAGGTATCACTGAATTATTTTTATTGCTATTCATATAAAAAAAAAAATTGGCGTTTTTATTAAATAAAAATGGCTTTAATTAACACAATAATTGTTTTGTCTGTGTTGTCCTTGTTCGCTTAGAATAAAGTAGTTTTTTTTTTATGGAACATAGAATAGCAAACAAGCTGACGGCCTATCCTATGTAAAGTGGTAACCGTCGCCTATAGACATGAGCAGTAGCATGGACATAACAGAGTATACTGTTTCGCCCATGATACCCCCCCATGGATTGCCATTCCTGAGGACTCAGGTGTTATTCCCTTGTACCTTGCCTTTAACACAGATAATGTCATTAATGTTTTTGTTTTTTAATATTATTAAATTGTTTATTATAATAACACTGGCTGAACGGTATATAAAGTTTTATTAACTTCCTTATTAGAAAAATCTAAATTCTGAATATGGAAGATGTCTCCATATATGTATATCAGAGAGAGCATTTGTACAAAGGACATCTACTCGCGTACATCTGTTTCACTCGTGTTTCTGTTAGTTTTTTTTTTTAATGGATGATAATGGAATTGTAACCCCGCCCACGCTACCGGTATACACCGGCGGGGCACCAGTGAAGGATGATAGGTGAGGATGAAGCAGGTCAGTTAGCCCATCGTGACGAATTCCACAAGAATTGTTCACGATGGTTTCCAGGGGGAACCAGGTGGAGGTCGACCTAATAAGGCATATTGCTAGCAATGGGTATGAAAAACTTCATTGCTAACAATCCCTTTTCCCCCGTGTTTCTGTTGTGAAGCAGGTACGCTCGCATAGATGTTTCGATTTCAAAAGTAGGATATGACAGTGAAATTACAGGATACGAAGACATAACTCTTCAGCCTTCAAGAATGATATCATGGGCGTCACAGTATATTCTGTGATGCCCATATGTTTATAGACCATCAACTGATCTGTCAGCTTGTGTGCTATTCCAAGTAGCGTAAATACACATTTTAGCAATACACCACCGATTTTTTTATACTTTTCTAGATCAGCATATTTTTATTGAATTGAAAACCCGCCAAAGCTTTCAGAACGCTATCAAAATTAAATAAGACGTTATCAGTAATCCGGCCATCAATCGTCGGCAGACGTCGCTTACACAATAGCATTACCCTCTTTTTGAGCTTTACCCTACACCGCAATACAATGCCGTCGTGATGTATGAATGTATTGGATGTGGCATATTGAATTAAGTATTCGTAAGATAGTGTCAATTTAGAATAAAGCCGTTTGCTAATTTTTTTATATTAAATTTTGGCTCAAATTGTAAATTTTGATTTTCATCTGTCTTAAGAAAGGTAAGGTAGGTTGTTTGAAGTATATACATAAGTACGTATATATATGTCGATCTGTAGACCTTTAACATAACGTGTAATCTAAACCTAATCATAACCTTCAAGAAAAGAGCATATTCCTTTTTAAAAGGCCGGCAGCACACCTGCAATGCCGCTGGTGTTGTGGGTGATCATGGGCGGCGGTAGTCATTTACCATCAGGTGAGCCGCATGTTAGTTTGCCCCCTGTGTCGTAAAAAAAAATGAGTTGATTAATATTTATAATGTAATATGTTGTCGATTATGGGAGTAATGCAGTCAACATGACGATATATTATATTGATAAATATCTGTAACCAAAATGATGACTATAGACTCTCAAAAACTTACAAATTCAATATTTTGGATTTGATGAGCTTCATTCATTATAAGAAGCAGCAACTCAAGACATAACATGGGACTATTATCTATTGATTGCAGGATTTCTCAAAATTTATTCAGAATTAGCGTAAGTGTCACTTGACCAGAGGGAGACTTTGTACAAAAGTCGATTGCTTGGGTACCTCTGTCCCATTCGTGTTTCAACCGTGAAGCAGTTGTGTTTGCATGGCTGTGTTTCGGTTTGAAGGGTGGGATATGGCGTGAATTTACTGGGTACAGAGGAATAACACATGAGTTCTCAAGAATGGCAACGTATGGGGGGTATCATGAGTGAAACAGTATACTCTGTTATGTCCATGCTCATGTCTATAGGCGACGGTTACCGCTTTTCATCAGGTGGACCGTCAGCTTGTTTGCCATTCTAAGTTGTATAAAAAAAAACATATACAGAAAATACTAGCAAATTTTAATAACCTTCAGACATTGCTTGAGGATAGAAACAATTATTATAAAAAAAAAAATTCGAAATTTGAACGCTAACTACATGCTTGATTCGCACATCCTTGCAAATAATATCGCAAACACCCTTATAAACCTTTAACAATGCGTAACGAGCGATGCGCGTGAGCCCAGCTCTGGCCTGTCATAACAGTGATCGATCAGTGGCTTGATGAATCGATGCCCACGCCTTGCCCACCAGTCGTCACTCGTCACCGGCGACACAGTATTACGGCACTGTATCTCCACTATCACATATCTAATGCTGGAGACACACATTCGTAGTGTGTTTGGAGAATTTGGAGAAGGAATGTTTATTTCTTAATTTCATTTTGTATATTATATGTTTTTTAATGATGGTTAATGACTTATGTATGGCCCTCATTGAGAATTCGATGAAAAATATTTACATTTCGTATCATCTGCTTGGAGGCATGTCATCATAGATCTCAGGAATGGCAATGCATCAGGAGTATCTCAGTGTATTTTGTCATGTCTATAAGCGACAATTGTTAATTTCTTTGAAATGGATCCTGAGCTTTTGTAGTCATTACAAGTAGTATTATTTTATCACACTTTTTGTCGCTAATGTATAAAAAAATTTGGAGTTTTTATGTAGAGATATCGAGTAGTTACAGTATTGCAAGAAGCAAATTACGAGTACCATAATAAGAAATGGTTTGAAGCTGAAAATTATTAAATACTGTAACTTTAGGAAGATAATCAGGTCATATATAAGGTCTCTCCCTGTCCTTAATGATCCTACATGATAATATACAAACAACGTATTAGTGTAAATAGTTATAATATTTTAAGAGATAGTCTTTCTCTATCTTCTTCTTTGTACAGATTTTCGACAGCAGTGTGTGCGCAGCATAATTCCGGCTAATGTAATTAAAAAGTGATAATTCTTCAATAACCTTTGTGTCGTGGGTGTATATTGAGTTATTAGCGCCGATGATGCGGTTAGCTGTCTATCACTGACTATATATGATGGGTGATCAATTAATATTTTAGGATATATACAAGCCATAGTGTAGGAAGTTCTGTGGATTAATTTTGAAATACGACTATATGTATTCTTATATCTAGAGTTTAGATATACGAGTATAATATTGGGTGTTAACGTTTTGATATAAATTCAATTAAGTTTAAAATTTTATAGTTATAAATTATACCGCCTTTGAAAAATGAGATAGAACTCAATTTATACATATAAAAATTAATCATGGTTAGAGAGGGAGACTTTGTACAAAAGTCGTTTGCTTGGGTACCTCTGTCCCATTCGTGTTTCAACCGTGAAGCAGCTGTGTTTGCATGGCTGTGTTTCGGTTTGAAGGGTGGGATATGGCGTGAATTTACAGGGTACAGAGAAATAACACCTGAGTCCTCAGGAATGGCAACGCATGGGGGTTATCATGGGCGAAACAGTATACTCTGTTAAGTCCATGGTACTGCTCATGTCTATAGGCGACGGTTACCACTTTCCATCAGGTGGGCCGTCAGCTTGTTTGCCATTCTAAGTTGTGTAAAAAAAAAGGTAATTGAATATATTTGCATGATATTTAGTACACAAATAGACCATATCTTAGACTAACATTAAGATATTTTTATTCATGCAGGCAAATCCGCGGGTTACCGCTAGTCAATTAAAAACCTAAGTCGTAAAATTACTTATTCCTATACCTAGGTGTAAGTCCTAGATACAAACAGGTTTGGGTGCTTCGTGTTGGAGATTCAATAGATAACATATATTGTGGACATGTAATATTTAATCTGTCTTTTGTATACGACTGCTTGATTCATTTAATACATGACAAATGTAATTTATTTAGCTGCCATTTGCGAAAGTCGACTGTCATTTGTCGAATGGTGCGCTGGACATCGCGCGCACGTGACATTAATGCACAGGAC